AAATAAAATAACTGATGTTTATAATTTTTAGATTTTTAGAGGTTTCTTTGTAATTATTAGAATATTCAAGAGGTCGATATATAATTTTTGGATTATAGAAGGGTTTGTATCTATTTTTTTTATTTTTTGTGGGGTTGATTATACTTTTTATATTTTTAAATTATTGTAATTTTTTTAGGGTTCGTTGTAATTTTCTAATTTAAATGCTCTGTTTATGTTTTTTAAGATTTTTAGAGGTCTATATGCAATTTAAAATTTTTTAAGGATGTTGTTTATCATATTTTACTTTGTATGGGATTTTTTATAATTTTCATATTTTTCGCGTACTTGTTTAAAATTTTGAATTTTTTACAAGTTATCTAAGTTTTTTTTATTTTTTAAAATGTTGTGTTTATGAATTTTTTGTGGGTCATTCATAATTTTAGAATTTTAGGAGTATTTTTTACAATTTTAATATTTTGAAGGGGTTTTTGCAATTCTAGATTTTTTGGGCAATATTTGTTCACATTTTTAGGGTTCTTTGTAAATTTATGGGTTAACTTGTAAATAAGAATGATTTTAGGTGTGTATATTGTCCTTGAGGGTTATTTTAGCCAATGTAAAATTTTGGAATAATGCTATTTTGGAGGCTAAGTGCAAAAAATAAAAATATTTTAAGTATTTTCTTTTTTGAAATTATCAAACTTAATGAGGATTTAGTGAGAATTATAAATATTTTGGGAGTTTAATGCTCAATTTAAAGTTAGGGGAATTTTATTGAAATTTACCTTTTAAAATAATTAAGGAGGGACACATTACAATTTTTAAGATTTTTTAAATTGTGGATAGTTACAATTTGTTTATAATTAACAAAAGTTTGATTACTAGAATTTTCTACTTTTTTATGGATAGAATTTTCTAGTTGTGGATAATTTAATGAGAACTATTAAGAAGATAGAGTTAATAGGACATGTGTCGTATTCTAATATGATAAAGAATTAATTCCATTGTTTGATCTTTTTTCATATCAAATTTTGGTTAAATATTTTACCTTTAAATTATTTGAATATATATATATATATATATATATTTTAATGAGAACTATTAAGAAGATAGAGTTAATAGGACATGTGTCGTATTCTAATATGATAAAGAATTAATTCCATTGTTTGATCTTTTTTCATATCAAATTTTGGTTAAATATTTTACCTTTAAATTATTTGAATATATATATATATATATATATATATATATA